AGGAGAATGAGGCATACGGATGCATGCCACAACCCAGGTGAACTCTGAAAACAGTCTGTGATTTGAAATTATCCAGGCACTTTGAGGAAGGGTATTTGAGCTGGGGTCCAAGAATCCATGAAATTAGATTGGAGACATTATCTCCCCACATAGCCTTGACCTTGCTCTGCACATTGTTCAAAACCTTTACTGTGCCTGTGAACTAGATCCACTTGCCTTATGCCACTAAAATGTACCAGGAGGGCTCAGAATTCAAAGTGCTCCACTGCAAGCAAGGGGGCTTGATGTGGACCCCGAGAACCCACATAAACGCCATGTGAGCAGGGCGGCCTGCCTGTCATTCATCCCAGCCTTGGATGGTAGAGACTGGGGTTTCCAGAGCAAGCTGGCTAACAATGCCAGCCATACTGGTGAGGTTAGGGCTTGGCTGAGAGACCTGCTGTGAAGAATAATGTGGAAGGGAAATGGAGGATGATTACCGACATCAACCCTGAGCCTCCATGTGCATATGTACACGCGCACACATACACACGTGTGCCAACATACATGCAATCATGTATGCTGCGTATACATGAAAAGAAGAAAAAAGCAAAAAGAAAACAAATGTTCAAGTAGTGAAAAGAAAGAGACAATGAAAGGAAAAGAGGGAAACAGAAGAGATACAGGATTCAAAGCAGATGAAAGAAATTTTTGATAATGGTGATGACTATTGTGATGACGGTGATAATGGTGGTGATGTTGTCTGGTAAAGATGGTGATGATTATGGTGATGATGGTTGATGGTGATGATGGCAGCTGCTAGTAATGGTGATGATGGTTGATGGTTATAGTGATGATAATGGTTATGATTAGGATGATGAAGTAGTGAGGCAGACCTAACGACAGAGGTAGCCATCTCCGGGTCTGCCGTGCAGTGTGTTTGGTTAGAACACTGTTGCAGGTGTCTTGAGTTGGGGCATTCTAATTGAAAACTCTAACTTCAGGCTGTCACTGGAGTACCTCAAATCTCTCACTGGCTTCCTACCAGGAGCCACACATAGAGCTGTGGAGACAGTCATTTCTAGCTCTTTGCAGCTTCCATGCCTCACACAGCCTCAGACTGACCCTTAGCCATCCTCACATTCCCATGGCATCAGAATCTCCCAGAAGGCTGGAGAAAACTGTGCTGATCTAGACCTTGAGTACACTGCATGTTATAACAGATGGCAAAGAGCCCTTTGCTCTCAGGGGCTTCTAAAGTTTAAATTAATTGATTAATCTCATGTGTACGTGTATGCTCATGTGTATCCAGGTGTATGTGAGGTAGTGCATGTCTACGGGTGTGCGCATGCGTTCAAACTACAGGACAGCCTTGGGTATCATTTCTCTGGCATTACCTATCTTGTCATTTTGAGACAGGCTCTCCCTTGTCAAGCAGGCCAGACTGGCTGGCCAGTGAGTCCCTGAGATCTATGTCTCTCCACCTCTCCAGTACTGGGATTATATGCATATGACACCAGGCTAGCCTTAAAAAATAAACAAATAAACAAAAGATAAAAATAAGCTTGGATTCTGGGGATCAAAACTCAGGACCCAGTACTTTACTGACTGAGCCCCAATCCCCTACCAGACTTTTATTCAACTCATGCAAGCGTTATTTAAAATAGTACAGTAGCAGCCTGGCCCTGTGTTGAGTCCTATCACCCCCGCTACTGTAGGACAACATAGGGAGATTGTGACTTTGAGGTCAGAATGAGCAACGAGAATAAAACCACCACAAGCAACAACACCAAAAACCAATGCAAACACCGACAGAGCAGTTGGAAACAGCAGCTGCTAAGAGAATACACCACATATTAGCTGCTGCCCAGGCCCCATAATTTCTTCCGCTGTCAGGCAGCTATGATGTGGGGCATTGTCCGGGAGAATTCCTCAAGGATCCAAACTGGCAAATTCTCACTCATTGTCTTTTCAGTTGGAACCTTTTTCACTTGAGTAGGGAATTTTCCCTTCACTAAACTGATTCCATATATGTACATGCACATAGATACACACATGTATTTTAAAGATGCAAAATTAGGCAGTTCCTTCTTTAAGGACAATTGACAAGGGATGAAAAGGAAGATATTAATTCTAAGAAACATCTTATCCGTGTGTGACAGAGACAGGTATCAGCTCCTGAGAAATGATGTGCTCTGGCAGATCAGTCACGTGCCAGGCTCTGCCATCCATCAGTTGTGAAGATAGACACTTTTTTCTTTTAAAGAGAATAAATTCACTAGAGCAGAATCAAGGAAAGAGAGAACTGGGGCATTTTTATTTCCCCCAAAGAGCTGTGAAGTTTTGGTAATAAATGCCCAAGAGGGAGAATCTGGTCAGGTAAGATTGATTCATCTGGGCTGGAGAGATGGCTCAGTGGCTAAGAGCACTGGCCACCCTTCCAGGGGACCTGGGTTCAATTCCCAGCACCCATATGGCAGCTCACAATGGTCTCTAACTCCATTTCTAGGAGATCTAACACCCTCACACCAATGCACATAAAATAAAATTTTAAAAAGATTGACTCATCGGGGGTAGCCAGTGACACAGGTGGGCACTGCAGTCTACTTCACCTGTAGTTGGCCCCGCCTCCTTCACTTCCTCCAGGTCATCCTTCACCGCTGCCATCCTTACACTCCTGTCATGGGCGGAGAGAATGGCATAGTCCCATCTCACAGGTGAATCTTGGACAGTTCCAATTCCATGCTACCCCCCCCAAGTCAAGTTAGTTAGACTGCCACGCTTGCATGCATTGTGGCACCAAATGACTACAAAGTTTGGGCCTTAATACAACACAGGCATCTTACAGTTCAGAAAGTCACATGTTAAAAGTGGGTCAGCTTCTAGAAACGTCCACACCTGTTCTGAGGCTGTATGCTACTTAGTCAAGTCTGTCAGCACCCGTCTTTCAGCCTCTCTCTCTCCATCTCTCTCCTTCCTTCCCTCTCCCCTCCCTCCCTTTAACATTTGCTCCCAATGTCACAGCTTCTTTTCCAGCTCTGTCCCCCTCGCTTCTTTCTTTATGACCCTTTGGATGACATTAGACCCCCTAAAGAGCTCAGGACCACCTCTCCATCTCACCCACTCACAAAGCCTGCTCTTGGTCACCTGCAGGTTCCAGGGTGACACCATCTGGGAGAGGATGAATACTGATGTGCATGTCACTGGCCCTCACCTGCAATGCTCTGTGGCTCCATAAGTATACACCTTGCATATATACACTGCATCCCAATGCATACACTCTCAATGAGGATGCTATGGACCTCAAAGTTCCCCAAACTGGTCCCAGGTGCGGGGATAAAAGCCCTTACTCTTCTCCCATGAACCCAGGCACAAGCCACACACGCGTATGAGTCAATGTCTCTACAATATGACAACATGGATGGCGGGTCCTGTGAGTCCAGAGCATCCTCCCCACCTACCCGACTCCTCCACTGTCCTCAGTGCCCACTCCCTGCCTCCTGTGGCTTCTGCCCCAAACTTCAAGTCTGTTTCAGTGGGAAGGTGACTCGGGCGCCTCTTTGGAGAACAGATGTGTGTCTTTTTAAAGCACATTTTTGTGATTAAGGAACAAAATGTTAATTAAGCAGCAGCAGCATTATCTCTGCTCATACAGTGTGGCTTTATGGGAATCCTTGCCTTACCGTCCCCGAGGGGAGGTGTGCAGTGGCTTTTGCAAAAACAAAACAAAACAAAACAAAAGCAAACCCAGAGAACAATTATCTTCCATGATGGTTAAAAGCCCCTTTGACATTTCTTCCCAGGATCTCTGGGCTTAGTGCCATTTCTTCCTTCCTGCTTTTTGTGACAAAGGTAAATTGGGGAGCCAACTTCCTCCTGCCTTACCAGATGAGAAGGGCTGTCAAAAATCCGTGGGGCTGTGGCATTTCTGTAGCCAACAACTTAGGAAGTGTAAAGTACAATACCTTTTTGTTTTCAAATGTGTGTGTGCTGGCCGGGCAGGGGTGGTGCACACCTTTAATCCCAGCACTTGGGAGGCAGAGCCAGGTGGATCTCTGTGAGTTTGAGGCCCGCCTGGTCTACAGAGTGAGATCCAGGACAGGCACCAAAATTACACAGACAAACCCCATCTTGAAAAAAACCAAAAACAAGCAAACAAACAAACAACCCCCCCCCTCAAAAATATGTGTGGGCCTGTGTGAGTATGTATACTACAGGCATACAGGAGCCCACAGAGGCCAGAAGAAGGCATCAGATTCTTAGAACTGGCATTATAGATGGTTATGAACCACCATGTGAGTGCTGGACACCGAACCCATATCCTATGGAAGAACAGCAGGTGTCCTAACCACTGAGCCATCTCTCCAGCCCCAGAACAGCTCATCTTCCTGTAAGGATTATTGATTAGGTCAGCCTGGAAGCATGTGGAAGGGCTGTAGGTTCATCTCCCATAACTCAATGATCTCAGTTCTCCAAAAATCACACAGGGAATTTGCAGGGAGATGAGGCATGCCGCAGGGAGGTGAGGCCTGGTCAGCCATGAAATGGTCACCAACTGCAGTCGAGTCACACCTTGCTGTGCCATGTGCCATGGCCAATGAGCTGCCAAGTAGGGGTTCTAAGTCAGGTGTGTGGACCTCCAAAGCCAGACCCTTGGGATGCCCACCCTATTGCTTGTTCTTATCTGCTGTAAAGCCATGCCCAGCCTGCCATGTGTATTTAGAGATGCTGTGAAGCCAGGGAGAAGCCAGCCATCCTTGAGTCAGAACGGCCTGAATTAGGTCCTCTCCAGAACTCAGAGGAGAACAAACTGATGACCACTAGATTCTGGCTCTAACACCATAGGGCAAGCAGCGTCCCTTGTGTAAGCACCAGCATGGGCCCAGGGTTTCTGCCACCCTGGGGAATAAATATGTGAGCTTTCAAGGAAAACGTGTGGTCCACCCCTGTTCTGTTCACTGTAAATAGGCTCAGAGATGACGTCACACTCCAGCAGAGCAGTCTTCCCCCACAGCACTGACCTTCATCATAGTGTTGAACCACGTGAGTGGACACCATCACTGGGCTCCCATTCTGAACACACCCATTGTCTGATATCACCTGCAACAGAACAGATGGTTTCGGGGGTCAGGTCTTGGGGGAACACTCACAGGAGAGCCTCAAGGCTGCAGGAGCATCTTCCAAATCAAACTTAAAAGCTGTGTTTGTAGAAACTACCAGTTCTCCATCCAGCCTTGGAGTAGCAACATGACTCACTCTGGCCGGATTCCCATCATCATAAGAGCACTCCTGGGTTCACACAGGCAGGCAAGTCCCACAACACACATGGGATGTCGAGGCCCCAAAGGTCCACTGTCTAATAAGGAACCAAGCAAGAGTCTAGCATGTCAGTTCAGTGGCCTGCCAGGCTAAATTCACCTGTGTGGCCACATAGATGTAACCACTAGCCACGCCTTTAGTGAACACACCTGTCAAATATAGGAAGTTTGCTTTGTGTGTGTACGTATGTGTTTATGTGTGTATGTGGATGCACGTGTATGTGTGTGCATGCTTGTGGATAGGACAACTTCAGAAGGCGTTCCTCTAATCATATCCACTTGTTTTGAGACAGTGGCTTGGAGCTCACCAAGTAATCTACAAGTCCCATGGATCTGCCTGTTTCCACCTCCTCAGAATTGCTATATACAAGTCTGGCTTGCTCTTTCTTTCTTTCT